GCTGCACAGAAGTGTTGATGAACATTCATTTGAAGATGACATATATGTTACCTAAATTACAGCACCATGGCTTTACTGACTAGCATTGCAGAATCCTATTATTTCTCCTACTCTGACAGCTGAACGCGTTACTAAGGGCAACGAGGCCTTAGGATCAAAACTGGAAGATGCAAATTATATCACATAAATTACAGCACCATGGGTTTTCTGACTAGCATTGCAGAATCTTATTATTTTTATTTGCGGTACTCCATTTATTAAAGCAAAGCTAGGGATGTGATAATAATTAGCTATTTTAAGACTATTTAAAAATGCCTACCATTCTTCAAAGTCATATTTAGGAAGAGGTATATTCTAATTTATTTTTAGAGCCAAAGTTTTTGTAGAAATAATTTTTAGCCTTTGCCATAACAGTTCCAATTAAACCTAATGGATCAAAGAAGTGACCTATTATTGATATGTCTTCTCTTTTTGTTACTGTTTCTTCAACATCAGGTATTTTTAAATTGTAAGAAAAATTGGCTGTAGCCATACTCCATGACATTCCTAACACCCTTGTAACCTGAGGCTTATCAGTAACTTGAAAAGAATAATCCTGAGTTGCACTTTCTCTATTCTTCAATAGTTCAGGATTATTGGAACACCATTTGTGTAACTTCATTCCACCATGTTCTAGAAGACAGATTAAGTGTGTCTGCAAGTCCTTGGCATCTTTTAACATAGTCCTTGGCATCTTTTAACATAACATTATTGATATGTCTTCTCTTTTTGTTACTGTTTCTTCAACATCAGGTATTTTTAAATTGTAAGAAAAATTGGCTGTAGCCATACTCCATGACATTCCTAACGCCCTTGTAACCTGAGGCTTATCAGTAACTTGAAAAGAATAATCCTGAGTTGCACTTTCTCTATTCTTCAATAGTTCAGGATTATTGGAACACCATTTGTGTAACTTCATTCCACCATGTTCTAGAAGACAGATTAAGTGTGTCTGCAAGTCCTTGGCATCTTTTAACATATTAGCTGCAGTGATAATGTCATCTATGTAACAATCCTTCAGTATGGCTTGAGGCATAAGGAAATTCATTTGCTTCATCTGTAGTCAACTGCTTTAGGAGCCTTGTTGCGAGGAATGATGCACTTGCTTTTCTATATTTTACAGTCCTTAGACAATAAGTCTGCTTAGAGCTACCAGTCGATTCTTTTCATAAGATCAACTACAAGTTTCTTTGATATGATTCAATAAGTATTTTGTCTGTACATCTTCTGAACATAAGCTCCTAGTGCATAGTTGTATTTTTGAAATCTAATAATAACGGAAAATAAATCTTCTTGTACTATACATCCTTCCATTAATATTGAATTATGTGATATTCCATTAATAGCAGCCGCTGATGCAATTTTCTAATTGAAATTTTCCTAGTTTGAAAATCTCAAATAACAATTCAGCCCCTAGTAACATGTCTGTTAGGAGTTCCGAACTGTGGATCAGCTAATTGAATGTCAGTGGGAATGTTTAATGACTGTAGATCTATACTGCTTAATGGGATTACATTGGTAATTTTAGAAATAACCAAACAGTTAATTGATCTTACATATTTTAAATCCTTATTTGAAATCTGTACATCTAGGTAATGATCAATATTTATAGCATTATCATGTATTCCAGATACAGAGGCATAAATTCTTTCTTTCTTTATATTTAATAAATTAGCATTTCTTTCATTTCATGCTGCTATTATCAAGGATAGCGTGAACTGAAATTCCTTTTTCATCTGAATTACAAATATATACTATTGCAGTCATTCATATCACATTTTTTTGCCATGTCAAAAGATAACTTGATTGATTTTTTATGAGAAACATCTGCATTCTTTCGTTACTTGATGTTTCCATTTTTGGTTTGTCCAACTGTTGGTTAATGGCATTATTCCTGCACAGGCAATGGAATAATGAATAATTTTTTTTATGACATTCGGAACGTCTGAATTTAGAATAACATTTAGCGATTAAATATTCCTTACTAAGACAGTTTAAACACAATTTATTGTCTTTAACTATTTCATATCATTGATTTAGGTGTTATTTTAAAAGTGAGTCACATTAATGTAGTGGATAATTATTTTTACATATCACGCAAGTCAGGGCACTATTGGTTTTAACCATCAGTCTTTGATTTTGAACTTTTCTCTAATGAATATTTTACTTTATTAGTATTATGGTTAATGTTACCTAATAATTGACATCTTTTCTCTAAAAATGAAATTAATTCATCAAACGTAGAAACTTTTCCATAGCATTAATAATTAGTTAAAATTGTTTGCCCATTTCATAATCTAATTTCTGAAGTACAATATTTAATAACAGAATATCCAATAAATTATTTTTCTTATACTTTAAGGGGTTACATGGGTTTCATCCGAGTAAAAACGGCGTATTTTCAAGATTTTTTTTTTTCATATAATAAATGAAATATTTAATTCAATTTATTTATTATCTTAAAGGTACATATTTAATAAACAATTTCTGAAATTTTTGAAAAAAAAATATTAAAAACTCCGCCATTGTGACGTCATTCCCGGCGAGCCCTCAGAAAAAAGGTGCATTTGCATTGACAGCAGAACTCCTAGCAGGATCATCTGAAGTGGAAAAAAAAAAATCCGTGTTTTAGTTAAGGCTTCAAACTAGAAATTGGATGAAAAAAGGAAAATTAAATGTTGGACAGCGGTTTTTACATAAAAATGCAAAATTCGATAAAAATATCGAGCCATTTTGGAAAAAAATAAATAAATAAATAAATAAATAAATAAAATAAAAATAAAAAATTAAAAAAAAAAAAATAGTTGTAATTTGGAAAAAGTCCGTGTAAATTGTATCTTGAAGACCTGTTTAAAATTTCATTGTGATCGCAGTCTTCAAGAAATCTTGACAACCGACTTTAAAAACATAGTTTTGAGAAAAACGCGTTTAAAGTTTTGAGTGACCATAAAACAGGAAAATTTCTTGTATCCGGCAAGCCCTAATCTCATGACAAATCCCTAATCCCAACCAAATCTCATGACAAAAATAAACCGCCTATTTAGTTCATACATTCTGCCAATTTTTTGGCAAGATAAAATATTTTTCGGCTCGCATCGTTCACATGCTACCTCAATTTTAAATCTCAGACCGAATTTCGAGCATTGTTTAAAGTTTACTTTTTCATTACACAATTTTTCTTCATCTTCACTTTCAATGATGTTTGAACACTGCACAAAACACAACAGCGATGAAAAAACAAGATAAAAATCGATGATGGAATGTTGGAGCGTGGCTTCCTCTGGCATGTGCTCTTTATTTTCACCTTTCAATTTTTTTGCTGATGTGCTCATGAAAGAATCATCATGCTGCTCAGGATTTTTAGGATTGAACGACTGTCTCCATTTCTTGGGTCGATCATTTCTACGAGCACCGTCCACTAATTGAGGTCTTGAAACTTTGGCCATTTTTTAAGTATAATTTACTTTGGACACTTATAACCTCAAAATAAACCTCGTGGTTCAACAAGTGATCACCGAATGAAGTATTTCAACTAGTTGCCCTTAGAAAAAGAGAAAAGTAGCCATAAAGGACAAATGAACAATAGGCAAGCAGCTGCTCTTTTATACCTGCGGCAAGCGGATCCCAGGTAGCCTTGAGCGCACCACTTCGAAAGGCTATATCTCCGAAACTATTACTCGGATCAACTTGAAATTTTCGGACAATATTCGAGAGATGTTGTAGATTTTAATAAGCCCCCCCCAAAAAATCGATTTTTTGAACCCGTGAAACCCATGTAACCCCTTAAAACGTTCAGTGCCCTTACGTTTATAGTAGCATTATCTTATTACATATCTTATCCCTTTAGGAGATTCAAATGTTAAATTACGTAAATCCATTATTGACTTCATGTTCATCCCAATTAAGATTCTTTTATTTTCATACCTAATCTTGAAGATATATATTAAAAATCATCATGTAAATTTAAATTACAAAATTTAAAAACTAAAACTCAACTTTATAGATTTTTTTTTACTCATATCAAAAAAACAATTATTAAAAACTATTTGATCACTCTTGGGGCAACTTTTTTAGTCTTTTTTTAAGGATTAATTGATTTTAAAATTTAATTAATGTTTTACATTAAATAATATTATTTATTCCCATTTTTGTTTCACAAGAGTAAGAATTTACTTAAATTTCATTCAATTAATGTGCAATCTTTTTCTCTGACTAAAAGCCTTTTGAACGATTACTTTCTAACCAAGTTTCGTCAGTTTCGCCAATGAAGCCAAAATGGCAAACCTATACATCCCTTACTGTTTCGCATCTCATAGTTTAGACTGATGTCTTATGAGAGTGCTTGAAGTTCTTAATTCCTTTTTGTGTGTTCTAATTAGGTTTTTTTCAACTATGTTTTATGAATTCACTCGCATCTTAATTCCTTGGATTATCTGTTTAAAAGTAAACATTTTGATTCAAAATTTTTCACTTTCATTTTCAATTCTTTTAATAAAATAGGCCAGAATTTTCGGGTAAACTATTATAATTAAAATTGTTCATCAACTAATTATGGATACAGAAAAGCAAGGATTTTTGTAGAAGAGAGATTTCAATTAATTTCAATGTTCCTCCCCCCCTGATGAAGTGGCATTGAGGCTGATTGAATTCCTTTTCTGTCTTCTGCTCATTTTTTGCTTTAAATTTCATTAGTTTTTGGAAGGGGGTTTTACATGCTTGAAATGTTTTGGTTTTAACATTTTAAAATTCTTTGTTGCATTTATATGATTATTTGAAATTTATTAATTATGAATTTCAATATCTGGTCTTTGTGAAATATTAGTTCTAAATTTCTTACTTTATGTCTTTAATGATAATTTTTCTGCAGCTTAATGCACGAAAATACTAGGCATGTTTATATTTTGTTTTCAAAAGAATTGTTTTATAATTATATATATATATATTTATTTTTTTTCCCCCAGTGTGTTTATATTACTTCTTGTGGAAATTTTGTATTGATTGGCTACAACACTGGGCATTTAGATAAATTCAACATTCAGTCTGGTTTACATAGAGGTTTTTATGGCAAAGACACAGGTAAGTTTGCTGTTCTGCTCTATTTTAATGACTAATTGCAGTTACACATAGTACTTTCTGGTTAATATGTTGCCATTTAGTCTTGCACATTAAGGCTAGTGTGAATAGGAATAACAATCATAAAGAGATATTTAGCTTCATAAAATGTATTGCTGTTTATTAAATTGAAAACAAAATCTAAAATATAAAGAAATTCACATTCCAACAGACAGTTGTGCAATGATTCATTTTAAGTTGCAGTTGACAGAATTCTATTAACCTTTTGAAGACGGGATGGACATTATAGTGGCCATAGAGTCCTCTGTTTGAAAAGACTGGGTTGTCCACTTTAGTGGCCATATCTTTTTCCTCCATTTTCCAGGCTGAAAGTAGGGTGAAGTTGATGTCCCTGGGGTTTTAACCACTTATCTCTTTCAAGGGTCTTCCTTTTGCGACATATATGCACCCCTCTAGAATCCATTAAACTACACACAAGAATCTTTGTTGCAAATAGGAGGTGATTTCTTAAAGGGGTGAAAGCATTCGGTTCAAGATTCCCCGTCCTTTGGTAGCTTTTACTTCTATCAAAGCCCCGGCCTCAAAAGGTTAATCTCATTTTACCAGAAGTAAATAAACTGAATAGTTATCAGAAAAAGGAATGCATAAATCTTCAAACCAACATATGCTGCATAAATACGAGGGCCATCCAGGAAGTAGATTACGTTTCCGTCTGTGTCCGCTAGGGGCGGGGCTAGCGCGGCCATCTTGGGGTCAGAGCGTTGCGCAGCTCAGTCTGCATCTAGCCGTGCTAGTGAGAGGTTCGTGCTGTGCTCCGTTCAGATACTGTGACGGTTTGAAATGTCTGCGTTAATTGAAAATCCCGCGAGCTGCGAGGTGCGCTCAGTAATAAGGTTTCTGACTGCAAAAAATTGTAAACCGATAGAAATCTATCGGCAGCTTCGTGAAGTGTATGGGGACAACATTATCACTGAAGGTGGAGTGCGTCAGTGGGTCATAAGATTTCAAAATGGCCGAACCAATGTTCACGACGAAGATCGAAGTGGGAGACCCAGCATAGTGACCGCCGAACTTCTCGAAAAAGTCGATGCTAAAGTCCGTGAAAATCGAAATTTCACAATAACGGAACTTTCTTTGAGTTTTCCACAAATTTCGCGAAGTTTGTTGCACGAAATCATCAGCGAAAAGCTTGGTTACCACAAGTTTTGTGCAAGATGGATTCCAAAAATCTTGACAGAGGACCACAAAAATCAGCGAATGGCTGCAGCGTTGAACTTTTTGGACGCTTACCATAAGGATGGTGACTCTTTACTCGATCGCATCGTTACTGGTGACGAAACATGGGTGAAACATGTGAACTGTGAAACGAAATTGCAATCAATGCAGTGGGGGCACACAAGTTCTCCCCAAAAACCCAAGAAATGCATGCAAACAATGTCGGCAAGGAAGATGATGGCGACTGTTTTTTGGGACAGAAAAGGTGTAATTTTGGTGGACTTCCTGGAAAGAGGCACTACAATAAACTCTCAAAGGTATTGCCAAACTCTCCAAAAACTCAGAAGAGCAATTCAAAACAAGCGCAGAGGAATGTTGAGCTCTAAGATCTTGTTGATTCACGACAACGCCCGGCCCCACACGGCAAATGTCACTCGTAAAGTTCTTGAATCTTTTAAGTGGGAGTTGTTTCCTCATCCGCCGTACAGTCCCGACCTGGCACCGAGCGACTTCCACCTATTCCCAGCAATGAAGAAGTGGCTGGCTATGCAGCGTTTTGATGACGACGCACAGCTGCAAGAAGAGGTAACGAAGTGGTTGAAGGCGCAGGCGGCCGAATTTTTCGACGAAGGAATTTCCAAGCTCGTACATCGCTACGATAAATGCCTTAATTTGTATGGTGACTATGTAGAAAAGTAGTATTTGAGTGTGGCTTTCATCTGTATATAATAAAATTTGTTTCCTATACTTTGTTTATTTTTTTATTCCAAAACGTAATCTACTTTCTGGATAGCCCTCGTACTTCATGCAGCGTGTTCTTTTGTGCAGTACCATTCCGGTGCTTTGAAAGTAATCAAGTGCAATTTCATTGTGTTGTTTAACAAATGAAGTCTTTAGACATGATGATATTGTTGTCTTTGAAGAATTTATGATTTAATCACGATCGCTTGTCATTTGGCTGTTATAAAATGGTGTGATTCCTGTTGATTTTTTTTAATCATCTTATGTAACAATAATTTTGAATAATTCTTCAAACAGTTTTCAGCTGGTATCCTATTAACTGAATGTACTGTATATATATACATATATATGTAATAATAAAATTCCATAGTCAGAAATACACTTAAAATTCTAACTGTATGTTCTTTTCATGTTTTATTGGCGACGGTCTCTTATTTGAAAGTACGTGGAATTAAATCTACAGCCCGTAGTCAAGTTGTTTTTCCCGCCTTTTTCTACACGTACAGTTATAGAATGTTCTGGAGATATTTAAAGCGAACTGGATTGGCTGACGTCATTTCTTGGAAGCTCCGCCTTTCCAGAGGCTATAAAAGGATTCGCAAAGGAATATCGGGGGCTTTTCTTTAATGTAACGATGCAGTAAACTTCATACAAAAAGTTATTAGTAATTCTTTTTTTTATTTACTCCAGAGATCTTAATTTTTGTAACTGCTATTTCTCCTGAATAATAATAAATGGATCCTGGTTTTTAAACTTATCGTCTGATAATTTAAGTTACGACTAGATCTATGATTCTTCACCAATCTATTTATTCTGGACAAAAGCTGGTACATCACATATAAATATATATATACATATAATGGGATGATTTGGAAATAGCTGTAGCAGACTGGCAGTTGTTCTTTGTGTTGAAATAACTTGGAGAGTTGCTATACTGCATAGTTAGAAGGATGACACTTGAAGCAACACAAGACAGCCGATTTTTCACACATAATTTTATTCTTTGTTAATTAATTCTTAGGACAAATATTCTTTTTCATTACACACTATCATTATGGGTGTGCTCTCTCCCAGTTTTATCCAGATAACATTTTTTAGACAAATGGATAATAACTAGCAAAGGCTAAGTGATATGTCTAAGCAGCAGTGAGCAAAGTAGAAGGAAAAAGGATATGCAATAGCAAAGTGCCAGATATATAATAATTTATTTCTTTAATCTGATTAACTGCACTGCAATTTGATGATATAAGAGACATGAAACATATTAATTTTCAGAGAACGCACTTTAGATTCACATCTTAGTATTTTCAAGACAAAAAGAGGATATGACCTAATTAAAAACAGAAATTGAAAGTACTATTGTTAAAGTTAGTAATTTCCTTTCATATTTTATTTCTTGCTCACATATCTATACAATTAAATTGGAAAATATGTAAAAAGGTCTTTAAAAACATACTTTTTGCAAAATGCTGCTAAGATTTATTTGTAAATATTCATTAATTAAAATCAAATAGGCAAAAATGTACAAAAGTTGAGAAAATGTATTAGGGGTTAAAATCTCAATTAAACTACTTGAGTTAAATTAATGGCACTGCAAATTAAAATTAGTATTTGCAAGGATTTTTGTAGCAAATTCTTAAAATATATAAAATAATAAAAAATAATAATAATAAAAAAATTTTAAAAAAAAATTCTGAAACGTTTCAGATTTTAAATTACATTCAAAGGGGTGTTTTTTTAACATTTTGGTGTTACATCTATTTATTAAATATCTCGTTCTTCACACTTAAACCATAAAATTTAGTTCAAAGAGCAATGTTGCAAAATTAATTTTAAATTGGAGCATATCTTTAGAATTTCTGATACAGTCTCACGCGCTGGAGATAAAAAAGCTTTTTTTTTTTGTACAACGTTGTCAATCGCTCACTTTGCAAATCCTCGAGTTTGTTAATCAAAAATTTGTTAAAGTTTTACAAAATAGTAAATCGATAATAAAACAAATTCCAAATTTCAAATTTGGTCATCCACATGCCCATATTCGTAGCAGGATTATGTCATTCAAAATTCCATACCTCTATGTACTATTGTTTTATCACAATGCAAGAAATATATATACATTTAGGGAGATTTTCTTTAAATATAACACAGGGTGATAATACTTTGTGGCAACAGTTTGAAAAGTGATTCACCATTAGTAGTAAATCGACGCAAAATCGCAAAATGAAAACAATATTCCTTCAGGGACAGAGCCCCTTTTGACTAATAAAAATATATAGTGTTAAAAATACAAAAGAGGGAAAGCTGTTTTATTATTTTTCAGGTACTTGCATTGTCCAGAGGAAGTAAAGTCATCTTGTAATGATATTTCTATTCACCTGGCAAACTTATTTGGTTTCTCTACATTTAAAACTAGGTGAGGCATTGAATTAAAAATATAAATATTTTAAGTAGCCTCTAATAATTAAAAATGCATCCCCTACAAAATGCATTTTGCCAACCAAGTAATAATAAATATTAAAAATGGTACAAGCTTTTAACAAATTCTATACATGTGAATAAAAATTAACAAATTTCAAATAAAATAAATATAATACATCTGGAAATAAATCTATTAAGCTAAAGTATTAAATTAAATTCATGTCTAAATACGGTTGTAACAAATAGTTGAAATAGGAAATTAAAACAAAGCCAAAGATATAATTACTTGCATCGTGGAACCTTTGGCAAAAGAAATGAATGTTAGATGCTGGAATTGTTGGGAAGGGAAGAAATTAATGTGCAACAGGTTGCTGTTGGCAAATTTTAATCTCGCTGTATAGTATTGCGAAAAAATTGGGTTTGGAAAAACTGTAACTTTAAAAGGTAACAAGCACTGAAAGTAAAGTAATAAAAAAAATGAAAATAAGCAATTGCTGTTTAAAAAGGAAACAATCTTCTTGCTATAATTGGCATAAAAAGCCAAAGCAGAAGTGAAGAGAGGGGAATTGCACATCAATTACTTTTTATACCGAATTTCATTTCAGATCACATGACAGATTGGTGTCCAGATATTGGGTTCAGGTTTCATCCATAAGTGTGCATCAAAATTGAAGAAAGTATAGTTGAAAAAATTATTGCTATGTTATTTGTAGAATGAAAATGGAAGTGAAAGGGTTATTATTAATTTATTATTTGAAAGATAGAAAAAAAAAATATGATGGCTACATTAAGAAATAATTGGCAACCTTAAAATTGACTATTCTAAATTTTATGTTCTCCCCCTAAAAGTTCCTCCTTTCTCCCAAATATATGAGATCTTTCCAAATTACATAACACTGCTTGAAAAAGGTAACTAAAACTAAAATTAAAATTAACCAATCACAGCTCGACTTTACTTAAGCACCGACGTGGTATAAATACTGCTTCGCGAGTAATTACGCCCCACTTTAACCTGAGTTCTGCCATGTAAACCGCTCTGCACTGCTTATGCTTCCTGTCTAAGATGCTTACGTCATACTTTTAAAACCTATGTACATAAAATTTATTGTAATTAACTATGATTGAATAAATACCTTGTCAACCAAAATGATCTGATGTGAATTATCCTGGAATAAAATTGTTTCGAAACGGCCACATCTGGAAGTTGGTTTATGCATCTATCTCTCTTAGCTGTGCACTTGAAACATTACATATATATATAGTATGTTAAATACAAAATATGAAAGAAAATTACTAACTTAAATTTAGCAATAATTAAGCCCGGTGGCGCAGTGGCCAACGCATTTCGTAGCAGCACCACATATCCAGGGTTCGATCCTCGGGCTGGGCAAGTTCCACTCAGCCTTTCTTCCCTTGAGCGGGTTGATAAAATGAATACCAAGTTCACTTGGGGACTAAACACCAATGGTCTTATGACAAACTGACCACTTGTCAGGGCATATGCTCATGCAGCCCAAAGCTCACGATCAAGAAAGCAGATATAGGGGCACTGCAGGCCTTCGCCCAGTAGGGCTGTTAGCAATAATTGGTCTTTTTTTAATTCCTCATTTAAATTTGGCTCCACCGTCTTGTAAATTGCACCACTTCGAAACTAATCCACACTGTCATCTATTAATCCTATAGTCACGATTTTGTTCAGTCACGATTCAAAATTTAAATAAATGCTTCAGTTTTATAAATGCTTTGCTGAAATGTCCACTAACTTTTTCCTATCTTGCTCGATGTGCAAACACATTGCTCATTTTTCTTCTTTAGCCATAGTCAAATGATTTGTCCATTATCCAAAGGTGTCGATGATGCTTATCGCACACAAAATAATGTGTGAACATGTTTATCGAGAATATCTTTGATTAATTAATGTGTTGTTTCTCATCAAATCTGTCTCTGTTACATCATTTTGTGTTTCTATTCATTAAGCCTTTCCTAATAATTGCAGATGACATCTCGGCATAAACCAGCTATCTAATAACTTTGACAGTGTTATGTGTATTTGGGTTCGTAATGGATTGAATGCACACAGAACAGATGCTAGCTTGATAAAATTTGTTTCACCAGAAGAAACGTTTTACAGTTCTGGAACTTTCCACAAAAATACTCATACAGCTCTTCTCAGTATTACACAGCACAATCAATAGTTACCAATTCTAACTACTAAGAATGTTAAACACAACTTAATGCAAATCACGTCTACAGAACCAACCTTGCATAGAGATCACCCAGTATTCCGATTCTGAGCTAAAAGAAACTCGAAACCGATGTTCTCTTCTGTCTTATATAGTTTTTTCCTAGGCTGCCATGAAATGTCTAGTACCTTTGATTTCTTGAAATTACTGGAAGGCAATTTTATATCTCCCGTTCTACTGGGCCGATTCATGAAATTCAACTCGCGTTTTTCTCAAAAGCTCGACTTAGGATATGTATTAGATTTATATATAGCAATGTTCTAACATAGGTATTTTGACACAAAATCGGACTTTTTTTTAAATAATATACCAATTTTTTTCCATATTTCCATTCTATGACTCAAATTACGCCAAACTAACAAGTTTTGTAAAAATTGCACGAGTAGATTTTGAAAAAATTAGCTCTCAAAATGTTAGCTCCTCAATGTTAATTGAGTTTGGTATATATTTATTAATCTCTGTTTTCTATTAAAGTTATTTGATTCTTCCTTTCGCATTTCGAAATTCAGGTACATTCCAAATGAAATTCACCCAATTTTTATGATTTATTTTTTTAATTTGTATTTTTAAATAATTTTTATAAATTTTTCAAAAAATTTTTGAATTATAATCTATAAAATTTTTACCATCATCTCAAAGTAGATGTATTTCTAAACATACCTGCAAAAAATTTCGGTTTTTTATTAAAAATTCCAAAAAATATATGTGAGTTTATATATTGGTGCATTTTGAAATTTGTCATATTTGTTGAAAGCGATAAAACATCAAATGTGGTTTAGGCACTTTGGTAAAATTATTTGAAAGTAGAAACGATGTGGCTTTTTTCCGCTAGGAACGAGGTACCTTTTTATCTTTTTCGTCATAATGAAAGGAAAAAAAAAAATTGGTTGCCATATACTAAGGAGTTCGCCAAGTGAATTATTCTTGGCACAAACTGAAAAAATTGTGCCATCATAAATTTTTGAATTCCTCCATTAATTTCTCACCAAATTTTACAAAATTTTATATCTAGGCATAATTTGAGTTGTAGCATCAAAATATGGAAAAAAATTGGTATGTTATTTCAGAAAAAGTCTGATTTTGTGTTAAAATACCTGTATATCCTTGCGCTTTCGAGATATGAAAAACGCAATATGAGTTTTGTCCCAGTAGAATGGAAGATATAGAAATGTCCCCCCTTTTTTGTGTGTGGTGTACATGTGGTTTGTTTTATAAAGAGTAAATAATTAATTTTAATAGCATTGCATGAATATATAACGGAAATGCAGAAATATTTTTGATTTCTACTGTGTACAACAGCTTCCATAAAGCCAAGGATTGTAAAATTTACATTATGATTTTCAAGCAATGATTTTCTAGAAATATGAATTTTTTCTATTATTTCATGGAAAAATTAGGACTCTATATTTAGGGTAATGTTAATAATAATTGGAGAGGTCATTTCAAGAGCTTTAAAAACTTATATTTTAGAGAAGATGAAGTGACATGTTAAAAAATGAGACTCTACATTTAGTTTAGATAGTGTATATATATATTTTTTTAATATTTCCAAATTACATTCTTATGCCTTTGAAGGGAGGCGGCTAATATGTTATAAAATATGAAGAAAAATTATGCATTATGTCATCTGTTAACCCTGCAGTGTGGTTAGCTTTTGTCCTATCATCATTTAAAACTTAAACAAAGGATTCAACTTTATAACTTTATGCCATCTATTAATCCTCCAGTATGATTAGCTTTTGTTCTATCACCATTCAAAACTTAAACAAAGGATTCGACTTTATAAATACAGTTTGCTGAAATGCATACTTCTTTTTTCCTGTCTTCCTCACTGTGCAAACACAGTTGCTCATTTATCTGTGTCAGTCATTGTCTAATTTTGTGATCCATTATGATGTATGAATATTTTCATGAGTATAAAGAATGTCCATGCGTAAATTGTGTTTTAGTTTATGTCTTCTTGTGAATCCGTGCATTACCAGTTAAGTCTTTTCAAGTTATTACAAACATCTCACCATCAACAGCTATTTCTATTCCTCAAATCATCTACGCAGAATTCTCTGTCTCTCTCTCTCTCACACACGTATACATATATAATTTAAATTTGCATATTTATGCAGAAAATATTTTATAATTATCTTTCCTCTTAGGCTATTTTACAATTAAAAAAAATGTGAAAATATGAAAATAAAAACATTAAAAATGCATAAAGATGCAAATAAAAAATAAAATGCATGATATAATGGAAATGACCATATATATTTCATATATGTTTTTAGTGTCAAGTGAGTGGAATTTTTGTTCATAATAAAGCTATCTATCATATCCAAGCTAGAATAGAATATTTGCTGTGAAAATGCACAAGTGTGAATATTGCTGTGAATAGCAATATAATGCAACAAAGAACCAAAAATTCATGAAATTCCTTTATTTAAAGATTTAAAAAAAAAAAAAAAAAAAAAAAAAAAAAAAAGATAAAAATGAAAATAATGGGCAATGAAACACATATTATCTTATCCATCAGTGGGGCAGCATACCTGTTGATAAGATATATGTATGGTTTCATTGTACATTCATTCATATATTTGATATATGTTTTTAGTGTCTTTAAGTGAGTGGAATTTTTGTTCATAATAAAGCTATTTGTGGCTGTCTTTTGTTTCTTAATGAAGGAAAGGAATAAAATTGATCTCTGTGAATTCATGATTTTATTCTTATCGTTATATGTGATGATTTTTTTTTCTTTTAAAAAAACAATCTCAAGAGCTTAAGTATCTTCCCCCCCCCCACGATAAAGTATTTAATTTATCTGGGTTTTGAACTGTTATGTTGTTTAGTCCTTTTCCATAGTTATATCATACCGTTTGTCATTTTATGGATTTTATTTATGTTAGAAATATTTGGAATTTAATTTTACCTTTTTTTTTCCCCTTCCATATTATATTATGTAATGTACCATTTAACAATGCTGATTTGCAGATGCAAACACATTAATCCACCTACACAGCATAACAATGCTAATTCCCAGAATTATTGTCTGAATTGTTGCAGGTTTATCATTCCTGGCTGAGAGCTGTTAAAAGTCTTTCAGCATATCTTTAATTTATCTTGCAAATTATAGAGCTGTATTTCATTGGAAAAAAATTGCAAAAATATGCTTTGACAAACTGAGATTTTTTTAATAATAATATAGTAATTTGATGTAGCTTGTAATCTAATAATTTCTGTAAATATGCAACCCTATATTTCTGATTCTCTTCTGATATGAAGAAATGTATTCAAATCATGCATGCAATTTCAATAAAAATGCATGATTTAAAATTTTGTGGTTCAACAAAATATTGAAATATATACAGTTTTTAATGAATATATTTTTCAGCTCATGACAAGAGTGTACGGGCAGTTGTTGTTGATAGTTTTAACCAAGTAGTAATTTCTGGAGGCTCAGATAAATTTTTGAGATTTTGGAACTTCAGCAAGCGTTATGAAGTATTTGCTTTAGAACTTGCACCTAGTGTATGTAAAATCATTATTCACAAAGAAAGGTACTGATTTTCTTTTAAATAAAAAATTTTGTTTAGATTTTCTATAATAATAAATGTGTTATTATAATTAATTTAATATGTTTAATATTACTCTTTTATGAATATATTAGAATTGTCATTACTTTTTTAAATAATTTATATTTTCTATTGCATGTTTATCCATTATAATTTTCTGATGAAAATTTTGTGAATGTGTGCCTATTCCTAAATATGTAAATGTTTATAAATGTATTCCAGTTATGGACATTTGTAGTTTAGTTCTTGCATATGACAAATATCAAGAATATTAATATTTTTTTGGGGGTATAGTTGGTAATTATTTATACTTAATATGCCCTCTATTTTTGTGTGTGAAGCAGTATATGCATTGATATCACTAAATATGTTTTCTTTTCTTAGTCACATTTGAAATATACATAAGAGCAATTTTGAAATTACCCATGCAGAAATCTCATTCTTTTATGATTATAAAACTACTTGAGTTGAGCGGTTTAATTTCATGATCATGCCGCTCTGATCGCATAGTGGTTAGGGGAGTCTGACTGTGATACCAAAGGGTCTGGGTTCGAATCCCGGAAAAGGCATTGATGTAAAATTGTCTGTCCCTTCATAGGAGATAACGGTGGCCACCTATTAGGTGCCTTTACAATAAAATGGAAACCACTTCTGGCCTTATGAGTGGTCAATGCCATTATAGGCAAGTGCCCGCCATTGGGGGATTTCATGGTCATTAGTAAATACCTATTCTTTTTAAGTATTTAATAAGTTTTGTTTGTATGCATGATTGAGTATTTAAATAAGGCTATACTATTTTTTTAAATTTTTTTTTGCTTTCATACTTTAATGCATCTCTTTCAAAAATTGTGTTTTCTTCAAGGAGATTTCGCACTTGATAAAAAATTGCTTATACAGTCATACCACTTTTGTCCTATAATGTATTGCAAGGGTCCTGAACCTTTTTGTCCCTAAGAGCTCATTTTAAAATACCTGTTGGATGGCGGGCACCATTTCCTTTTTCAAGTTGAATTTATAGTTGGATAGAGTTAATAATACATGCACTTAAATAAAGAGAGTTTGGTCGCATTTCGCTTTGTGCTGGTATCTATGTTGGACATAATTTCTCTTTCATTAAAAATGAAAAAACTTTTGCATAGAATTTTGTTGAAAACTAAACATTTTTATTGTGATTGCACACAATAAAGATAGTGGGCGCCATGGTGCCCGCAGACATAGGATTGGTAATCCCTGGTCAATTCCATAGTTTCTGATATCTGAAGCAGCTCTTAAGATAAAATTAATTTGGAAAATTAAAGAAAGAAATTGTAAAGAACAACATGCACACAAAAGTGCCTTGTACCATTTTGCCTGTGTAGTCCTGATCATAAGCATAAACCCTTCCTGAAACTTAATTGATATTTCATTTTTTGTATAATGCTTTACAAAAAATATTATTCTTATTGCTCTATTATTCATTGAAATTGTCCCTCATACCGTACAGCAATTTTTCAGTGCTCTTGAGAATCAGGCCTAAATGTCTAAAATTCTTTACTTTTTATTTATAAGGCAAAAAAATATAAAGCTATGAAACAACAATCTTTATTATGACTTACTTATTAATGTCATGCTTTCTATAACCTTTTTGGTTAAAATTTACCTGTTTATGCATTATAACATAAATTTAATTGTAGAGTTCAGTATTATTCATGATAAATCTTTGAACATATTATCTGCAGGTATTTAAATGTTTCTAATACTGCAGGTAACAAGTTTTAGAGCCTTGCTTAATGAATATAATAATTGCCCAAGGAAATTTTTTAATTAATATAATTGCCAATTATTTATTATAAAAACATTTGAAAAGAAATATATAACTTACAGGACTTGGTTACTTGTTCCAATACGTAATTTTAAAATGTTCTTTGATTGAGAGTAGGTATATAATTTAAAACGTATTTCTAGATGCTGAGGATCAAAGTATGTAACAATTTGCCAAATATCATTTTATTCATTACTAAATATGATGAATGGTTAAATATGGTTTCTTTTCTTTATGAAAACTTCTTAACTTCTCTTACAAAAGTAAGAAAAGAAAGTATTTTAATTTTTTTTTTTTTTTTTTGCATATAAATTAATAAAGATTTCATGCAAAACAATGCTTGTTTATTGTTTGTAATAAGCTTAATCTATATTTCCATTCTGCTTTAGAAGTATTATTAATTTGGTGACTTTTGATTTATTTGTTATTAGAATTAGGATTTGCAAACTCTAAGCCTTATTCGTCCATCTCTCACTTGTTCTTGGCTAATATACAAATGCCAAAATTCTTTAAGCATTGAATATGTATTTTTACAAATTGCTGATTGTGCTCTGTCATACTGAGAAGAGCTGTATGAGTACTTTTGTGAAAAATTTCAGAACTGTGCAATGTTTCTTTTGGAAAAATTAATTTTATCAAAGTGCCATTGGTTCTGTGTGCATTCCATCCATTAACAACCCGTATACTTGTAAGCATTTTTGGTGTCAGAAAAGGAATTGAATGCCTGTGACAAAAGTGATGGAGGATCAGCTAAGGCGGTTGGTTACAGCCTTTCCTATATTCCAAGAAAAGATTGAAGTGTTTGTCAAGTCCATCAAAGAAGAGATGAGAATGGGCTAAGAGAAGATTGAAGCAGGTCAAGGGTAACTAAAAAGGGGAATTACTGCTATAATAGAAAACAAATTCAAGGCTATGAAATGCAGAATAGACACAATCAAAAATACAGAAAAAATTGATGAAAGCATTTCTGTTGTCAAACAACAAATCAATGACATTGTTTCTGCTGCTGTCACGAAGGAAGTTGATAGCTTGAGGAAATTCGCAGTGACAGCTGGACAAAAATTCTAATGTCGTAAGTTTCATACCTATGTCTTCCTGAACTCTAATGCTATCAGTATATGATACAAAGACATCCTGGTAGTGTACAAGATTTGCTAGGATGTCTCTGTAGTAGATGATGCAAATGAATTTGATACCCAAGCCAAGGCTTGCCAGCTCACTGCTTCTTTGAGAACAAACACAGCAGTCCTGCAAACTCTGTCAGAAAACCAGAGGCTAGAGGAGCTCTATTTGGCACGTTGGAGCAGCACTTCGGCCAAAAGTGTTTAAAAAACTACAGCGGGTCTTAGTTAAAGTCTTACCAACAGAAAAACATGGAAATACTTCAGAAGTTTGTCATGGATGTTAAAACGCTGTCTTATCTCTCATTTTCGGACTGCTCAGTAGAAGCAAGAGAAATCCTGTCCCTGAAGTACTTCATCTATGGCATCCACCATCCAAATATATAAAAAGCCTTACAAATGTTTGATGTCAAAGATTTAAAAAGCACTTTTGTGTATGCCATGAAATTCGAAGTGTGCCACCAAGCAACTCTTAGAAGTGAATCAGAGCAGCACAAGTATAGGAGGCAGTGGATCAAGTGACTGTCCATCTAGACTATTTAATCAGGCAGTTCAATGCTTGAAACTGAAATATGGCAATTGAAAATGGAGTAGCAAGAAACCAATCTTAAAGTGCTGGAATACCAGTGGTGAAGGGCCATGCACAAAGGAACTGTAGAACACTCCAAAGCTCACAAGCTAAGTCTGCTTCCCAGCAGGGAGGCAGGAAAGAAATTAGTGGCTGTGTTCTGGAGTGCAGGTTAGTGGCTGTGTTCTGGAGAATCCTCATTTCAGAGCACTTGAGATTTCTGAAGTGAGTGGCTTCAGTAATGGACTTTTCATCATGGGACATATCAGTGGAGTTCTTTGCAATAAGGTCATCAATACAAGAGCCATTGTTACCATCACCTGAAAATATTTGGCTCAGCAATTGGAAGGTAAACTCATGTGGATGCTGCCCAGCTTTTCTTCGAGACTGTACCCGGCCAAAAATTCAAAATTGATGGAAAGTTAAACATCTGCTTCACATTTAGAAGTGTCATCTACCATCATGTGCCATATGTGGCTGATATTACAGACCCTTGTATGCTTGAATTAGATTTTCTAAGGAAATACATAGTCCAACATTGAAAATGCAACACCAAGAAGGAGTGGCCAGAAAGGGATGAAACTCACAAACAGAGAGACACAGCAACGAATTATGAAATGATATGCATAATACAAAGCTAGAACAACGTCAGATCAGTAGGTCTTTGTTACTGTGTTATCACCTTGGACGGCGATACGCAAAGCAACACATCTAGGTACAGAGTCAATGAGACTACAGATGGTGTCTTGAGGAATGGCTCTATATTCTCTATCAACCATTTGCCACAGTTCATCTTCTGAACTTGCGAATGGCAGGATCTGCAAATGGCTTCCGATCACATCCCAAATGTGTTCCATTGGTGATAGATCAGGAGAGAATGGTGGCCAAGGAAGCATCTCTACATCTTGGAGATGCATTTGTGGATGCATCTAGGTGTCTGTCAGCTGAAATTTGCTGTATGGACCAACCTGACCTTCTCACTTTGATCACCATGCCCCTCGTAAAATCGTTTGTCTGGCCTGGCATTCTCTGCTGTTACACATGTCCTCTTAGACAAGAATAAATTTTCTGTGATGGTTTCCCTAGCAGAAAGAACAGCACGAAAATTAAACATTCTGCAGGTTCCTCCCCTTATATCTTCTTGAATGTGCCCTGGAGAGCTGTTTATTTCACATCATTCAGAAACCACAGGACTGGGACCAGAAATTACCTCAATTCTTACTGGCCTATCGCAGTGCTGTCCATGAGACTATCGGCTATTCCCCATCTCAAATGCTCTTCGATTCTGACCTTCATCTGCATTGTGATCTGTTATTTTGTTACCCTCCAGATGCACCTTCATTACCTGAGGAGTACAATCAAGATCTCCAAGTATGGTTTGAAACTATGAACCATTTTGCACAAGAGGCAGTCTTCCTGATGACAAAGAAGATGAAGACCCGATATGACGCGAGAGCTGCAGCACATTGATTCAAAGAAGGTTACAAGGTGTGGT